TTCTTTCTTTCTTTCTTTCTTTCTTTCTTTCTTTCTTTCTTTCTTTCTTTCTTTCTTTTGGTGTTGTGCATGTAATATGTGAAAAGGAAGGTAGTACCTTGCACAGGTAGTCCTTGACTTATAACAGTTCATTTAGTGACCAGTTGGAGTTACAACAGCACTGAAAAAAGTGACTTGTGTCCATTTTTCACACTTAACAACATTGCAGCTTCCCCATAGTCACGTGATCAAAATTTAGACACTTGGCAACAACTCATACTTGTGACTGTTGCCGTGTCCCAAGGTCACGTGATCACTTTGTGTAACCTTCAGTGGGGATGTTGTGATTCGCCGGCGGCTAGTGGAGCTGGCAACTGTGCGGAGGTTGGGGCCAGTCCTGGAGACTGAGGAGGGCTCGGACGAGGGCTCTGCGTCGGAGGCAGAGATGGGGCCAGGGCAGGCTGGCAGTCATCAGCTGCCTTCAGAGTCAGACAGCAGCGAGGCGGGGGAGCAGCTGGAGCCGGTTCTCAGCCTGTGCCATGCACAGAGCTGCCAAAAGAAAAGAACAATTACGAACTTAGTGCTTTTGGGGGAAGCCAAGGTCAGAACAGGGGAAGCCAAATTCATTTAACAATCATGCTACTCACTTTTGCAGTTTCGTTTGCCTTGAAAGTCTCACCAATGGCTGTCCTTTTCTCTTCCAGGAGCCAGGCCAAAGTGGGCCCAAACAAACAGCATGAGCAGCTTTGAGCTCCTGAGGTTCCCATCTGAAAAGGTAAATGGCAATCAAAGTCAGTTGTGAAAAAGACCATCGTTGTTTGTTGTTCTAATACAGGGGTCTCCAAACTGGGCAACTTTAAGACTTGTGGACTTCAATTCCCAGAATTCTCCAGCCAGCTATGCTATGGAGACCTCTGGTTTCATTCAACCCTGCTCCAACACATTTAATTTTAACTACAGTACAACGGGTACCCCTTTTTTTCTTCTTGTGTTATGTTGCTCTAGGAGAAAAGTCAAAACCAGCTTTGATGTCATCTTAAACTTAGATACTCCTCCTCCTCCTCCTCCTTCTTCTTCTTCATCATCTTCTTCTTCTTATCTGCTGTTGGGGAATATTTATATTTTTGTAGGTGGGCGCTTCCTTCCAGGATCACTGATGTTCTCCTTGCAGAATCCAGGAGTTGGAAGAAGCCCGTGAGGGCGTCCAGACCACTCCTGGCTCCATGCAGGAATCCAAATTCTAGCATCCTACACCTCGTACAAAGCCGGGGCCTTATCAGGATGCTATAGCTTTCCTCTTTGCCTTAAAAACCTGAGTATATGGCTGAACAGAGTTGCAAAGAAGTCAGTGGAATTATTTTATGGTGAGGATGGATAGAAATGGGCACCCTTGCCATAATTTAAAGCACAGTCCCTTTTTTTCCATCAACATCATCCTGTATTTACAGTACTTGCATTTTATGGTTATCCAAGCGTTTGATTTTATTTTACCTACACATTGCATTTTATATTGTTCATGTTTACTTGGAAATGGCCAAGCTACTGCAGTGTCTGCTTGTTTTTTTTTTTGCTGGTAAGCGAAGAAGTCCCGACACAAACCCCACAGTAGTGTCACAACACAAACATGTAAAGGAGAAGTGAGGTTACTGCGGGTGGGGCCTTACTGGAGAAAGCTTTGCTTTGGGGAAATTGTCCATAAATTCCTTTTTTAATTTTTTTCAGGACCAGAATGGAGAGAACCTTCACTTAGGCGACCTTGAAATAACTGGGAAAGATTCCTTGCCTTTCTCTGCTAGCTCCCATAAATATCGGCAAAACCCGTCATTGTTGGAGAGTTATAGTGAATCTCCTCTGGAAGCCAGTGATGTCCAAGTCCAGTTATCCCAGCTGGTAAGAAGGAAATTGACCAAATGTTTTCCTGGTGACAATCGGTGCTTTATTTTCAGTGGTTCTTCTGATTGCCTACAAACCTGCGTTTCCCTGAAAATAAGACCGGGTGTGATGACTCGAGGTATGGCACAAAGGCAACACAGTCAGATAGTAAGTAGGAGTCCCTTGATTAACTCCAACTGTGCCCCCAATGTCCTGGTTACCTTCTGGACTGGAGAAGAACTCCCAGGAACAGCCGTTGGCTGCAGAGAATCAAGTCCAAAACATGGTCAACAAAACCTGTAACAATAAGTCCAAACAAGGCAAAATGAGGTAATTAGTCCAGCAGGGCAGGAGAAGGAATTCCAGATGTGGAAGAACTGCAGTAATTCAACCCATTTGGGAGGATGCCAGGAACGCAGATAACCAAAGTACACACAAGATAAACTCACGTTTGTTCCCAGAAGACGCCACGCTTAGCATGCATCTCTTTTAAACTCTCTTCCCAGGTGTGCCTAATGAAGGGAATCAGGGCCCTTTCCTCCCCCGTAAGCACATTGCTCTCTCCTCTGTTCCTCCCTGCGTGCCCTAGGATGAAGAGGGGGTGGACCTGGGTCTTCCTCTGAATTCCCTCTCCCTTGCTCTACCTCTCCCCTGCTCTGCCCAGCCGAACTTTGCCCTTCCCCAGTTCCTCACCAGCCAGTGGAGCCACACTCCCACTCCCAGTCAGCTGTTCGTTTTCCTCCTCAATCCGACAGGGGCATGACACCGGGTCCAGGTCTTATATTAATTTTTGCTCCAAAAGACACATTAGGCCTTATTTAGAATAGAATTTTAGAACAGAATAGAACTGGAATATATCTATACACACACACATGCAAAAATCCAGGGTCTCAGTCCCTTTTTCCTTCCATGGGAACAGCAATAGAAGAACAAAAGGACACTTTATACAACAGAAAGTTCAAAAGTTTTTCTTTCCAGGTTTCGGACCACCTAAAAAAAAGCAGGAATTATTTTCAAACTGGATCCCTTGCCTTTTAAAAGTCATTTTCAGCGAAGAGATTTTTATTTTTTATTTTAATCTTTATTTAGAAATGCAGTTACTGCAGTATTTTTCTTGGGTGTAGGCAAAAGCCTGTTTGCACCTAATTAAAACTTGTACGGGGGACTTAACACAGTGCTAAGGCGATGTGTGCTTTTAAGAAGCGGTGTGTGGATCTCAACAGATGAGTTCTATCTTTGTCCTTGAGTGAAAGGCGTTTCCATCTGAGCACAGGATTAGAAAGCCTCAAAAACGAGCACGCTGAATAAGTGAACATATAATAAATACAAATTGGCACAAACAGCAGTAAATAAAACTGTGTGAACAGACTATTTTCATATGCATGAGAAAGAGAATAAATTCTGTAGTCAAAAATGCGAATTTGCCCTAATCACCAAATTCACCTCCTCTGAGCCTTTTGATTTTTAGCATGCAGAAAGTATAGAGGTATAATTCCTAATGCAGTTACGTTAATGATAACCTGGTTGTTGGCCAGTCTCCAAGCCAAGGCCATTTATAGGCACAGGATGGAGGGGACAACCAGCTGCAAGCTGCCTGATGAATTCCAGATCTGCACTGCTTGGATCTGTGTTTGGATTCTGAGCCATTTTTTATGTCCTGTTAGCACTAAACTGCCATTAAGATTGGGAGCCTTGCTTTGCAGGAGAAAAATAACATAATAAAAGCTTGTAGGAAGTAAAATAGCCAGGGTTTATTTTATTTTTTGGAGCTTACTTGGCCTGCTGTGCATCTGAGACATTGAGAATGACAACTATTTTCTTCATTAATTAAACCCAGTGGACACAATGATTCTCCTTGGGTTAAATAATTGTCCTGATGTCCTGCTCTGTAAAATAAAGATTTAGTCCCACCAGGTCTAGCAAAGGAAGAAAGAGCAAGCAAGGAAGGAAGTTCATATACCGAGTAGAAAGCATAAATAGCTATGAGGGATCCTTGGTGTCTCTGAACTTGGTTGTTTCCTTGAAGATGTTTCATTATGTTTCATTAGTGCACATTACCTATTTGGGTAATGAAACGTCTGCAGAGAAACAACCAAGCTCAGAGAGCACCAAGGATTTCAACCCTGAGCTACAACTATTTAGAATAGGATAGGAATAGGAATAGGAATAGGAATGGAATGGAATGGAATGGAATGGAATGGAATGGAATGGAATTGGAATTGGAATTGGAATTGGAATAGAATTGCAACTGGAATAGAATAGAAAATGGAATAGAATAGAATAGAATAGAATAGAATAGAATAGAATAGAATAGAATAGAATAGAATAGAATAGAATAGGAGTAGGTTAGATTAGAATTAGGATAGGACAGGACAGGACAGGACAGGACAGAACAGAATAAGCTGGAAGGAACCTTGGAGATCTTCTAGTCCAGCCCTCTACTCAAGCGGGAGAACCTATACTATTTCAGATAAGTGACTCTAAACTCTTTTAAAGCACATCCAGTGATGGAGCACCCGCGATTTCTGAAGGTAAAGCTCTTCTACTGGTTAATTCTCCTCACCATTAGGAAGTTTCTCCTTCATTCCAGCTTGCTTCTCTCTTTGATCAGCTTCTGACCATTGTTTCTTGTCCTGCCTTCTGGTGCTTTGGAGAATAATTTGATTCCCTCTTCTTTGGGGCAGCCCCTCAAGTATTGGAAGACTGCTATCATGTCACCACTAATTCTTCTTTTCTTGAGACTAGCCAGACCCAAATCCTGCAGCTGTCCTTCATATGTTTTAGTTTCCAGGCCTGTGATCATCTTAGTTGCCCTTTTCTGAATTTTTTCCAAAGTCTCAACATCTTTTTTGTAAAAAAAAGTTGACCAAAGTTGATCAGTAGCTACCGTGTTTCTCATATAATAAGGCTGGGTCTTATTTTTTTCTGAGCCCCGAAAAAATGGCTAGGTCGTCTTTTTGGGGGGGACTTAATCCCCCCCCCACTTGCATCTTTGGGCGGGCGGCAACGGCTTGGATGTTGACCTTGGAGTTGGTGGGGCACTTCGTATCGGGGTCAACGCAGGCACCACCATATCCGGGTGTGCAACAAAAGTACTTCCTAACAGCAAGCCCCCCCACCATTCCCCCCAGTTCGCATGTTTTAATATAGGCCTTAATTTGGGGGGAGGGGCTTAATTTCATTTCATGCCTATAAAACATGCTGGGACTTCCTATTGGGGGAGGCCGTATTGTTGGAGAAACAGGGTATGCTTATCTCTTAGAGAAATGACTAAAAGGTGTGATTCTAACCATCTTAAATATTTGCTGTTCCATGAATTGATTGGACTAGATCAATGTTTTTGAAAGGGGAATTCTGGGAGTTGAAATCCGTCCATTTTAATGTTACAAAGTTCGAAAAACATTAGATTATAATGGTAACTTCCATGTCTGTGATTCTATGATTCATTGTATGCTGGGTTTTTAGGAAACCTGTGGCTATTTTGAAAAGAAAACAGCCAGGAAGCATCTTTGGCTCAAGTTAATTGGAGGGTAAATATAACATACATAAATATAAGCTCACTTGCTTATGTTTAATTCCTGGGTTTGAAAAACACATGTTATAAAACTCTTTTTCCCAATTCACCTATTTTAGGGTGGATGGTAAAAACAGTATCTATCCATACTTTTAGCAAAACAGGAAAGGATGGAAAAGAAAGAGTGAGAGATGTCACTTCAAGAGAGCAGCAATCCAGGCAATGAGGAGAAATGAATTACAATTTTATCTTAAAATTTCTGAAGGGCAACCCACAGATCTCCTTTATAGGTTTTTCTAACACTAGGGGCCATGATACTGTTTATTCAATTTTATAATTATTTATACCAGTATGTAGCTGAACCTTTTTATAGCTTAGACATTAGTTGCGATATTTTAAGGGTTTGGGGGTTTTTTGCTTTACATTTTCAACACTTACATCATGCCTATTAATTTTAGCAGTTGATGAAGTTTGAAACCATAAGCTGCAAAATCTAAGCCTCCAGAGAGGCTGAAAATGAGTTAGGTAAGACGAAACTAGCCAAAACAGAGGAGGGAGGGAATCTGCAGAAACTTAATAACGTGACCTGAACAACTCTTTAAAACCATTTCAAAGCAACCCTTAAACCAGGGGTGGGATTCTACCCGGTTCAGACCGGTTCTATAGATCCGGTTGTTATGATTCTGTGCAGTTGGGACAACTGGCAAATTGTGCCCCTGGCTGGCCCCACTCCTCTCCGCCCGCTCTCCCCTTAGTCAGTCCTTATGGCGCATGCGTGACATCGCGCATGCCCAACATCGCTGATTCCGTTCTCCCCCACCCAGTCATTCCTTAAGGTATTTCATTTTTTTCCCCTCCCAATGATCAGCTGTTCTGATGATCAGCTGTGCTGGGATCCCCCTCTCGCTGTCTTCTGTGGGGGAGGGGAAAAAAAAAAAGGGGGGGGGGGGATACTGCAAAAAAAAAAAAAAAGAAGTCATGCCCACCCAGTCACATGGCTACACCCATCTAGCCTCGCCCACAGAACCGGTTGTTAAAAAATTTGAATCCCACCCCTGCCTTAAACATACTGAAAACAGAGCTTTGAAGAAAAAGTCGTGAAGATGTCTAGAAAGCTATTCAGTCAATCAGGAATCATTTCTGTGGGGTCATTTTTCCTGGGAATCAACCAGTCAGTGGAACATATGGAGAAGAACCTCTCAAGCTAATGCACAGTTTCTAAGTTGGAAACTGTGCATCAGAGAACATTAAGCAGTTTGTGACTCCAGAACTCCATTGTGTACGGTGCCATGTTGATAGTCATAATTACTGGATGTCTTCGGCAATACAATAGTGTAAAGATAGACTGAACAAAACAAGTTACAGCTAGTCCTTGACTTACGGCCACAACTGAAAACAGAATTTCTAAGCTATGAAATCATTGTGTTTGATTTTAGGAACTTTTTTTTGCTGTGGTCAGGAAGCAAATGCGTCTTTCCTCACTGACTTGGCTTGTCTGAAGCAC